TGCTAGTCAGAGAGGCAGGGGTGGCTGACCTGTCCACAGGTGCAGGATGGACGATTCCCCAGAGCCCAAAGCTTACGCGTGTTTCTCTCCATCAAGGGGGCTGCTGTCTCTACCTTCTTAGAGGACCGTGTGTCTCCGAAGAAGCCTTTGACTAGAAGTACATTGAGGGACTTCAGCATCTTAGAGGAGGACAGAATAAACATTTATGCTGATACATTTTCTCCAGTATAGCAGATAATCCCTTAGGGTGTGTCATTTGCATAATTTTTTCTCCGTGCATGGAAAAAAACCTGCTCTTCTTCATCCTGCTCGTACTCCAGGGATTTTTACAAGTGGTGCATGGCTAGAGGCCCATGTGTGCTCCAGTTTTCTGGATTCCTTACGGCTGATCCTTAAAACCGTAGTAATCTCTAAAGGATGGTGAATCGAGTGGAACAGCAGAAGATTTGGCGCCTGAGAGGTTCATGCTGCCCCTCACGTTCAGCTGTTCCTGAAAAACTTTACCGGGAAAAGAATCCCCCCAAAGAATGATTTCTATACTGATTGGACTAACTCTCTTACTTAAAGCAGAGGATGCAATTCATTAGAACAAAGTATGTTTAATGTGCAATTTCTACCAACTACGAAAAAACATCTCACAGGAAAGAGAAGAATTGAATATCTAGGTTAAATTTTAAGAAATCAAAGATTTGAAAAATAGGCTATCGTTCAAAAGAGAACCCCTCAAATATCACAGAAATTTTCAAATAATGTTCTTTATTAAAAATAAATCGCCCTTAAATTATAACGTGAATATAAAAATTCCTTAGGAATTGTAATGAGAATATTGCTAGATTTGATTTGTCTTGTTTTGAGGTAAGAAAATGTTCGTTGAAGACCCTTGGTTGAATTCAGGAAAAGTGAAAGCTTTCTGGATTTTTTTGCTCCAATAATGGCATTTAAAGGTGCAGAATGCATGCTGGATCTAGGCACACCTGACCTGAGTGGGGAAGAGGGATTTGCTGTCTTTTTGGGCTACAGTTAGCACACTTCTGTTGGCAGACGGGGGGACAGCAGAGTGTCTGTCACACAGTGTCACGGAGCTGTGCTGTGCTGCCGGCACTCAAGGTACAAAGCTGCCTTTGCTGCATCTCGGTCATTCATTCCAGTGAGATCGTGTCGACTGAAGGTAAGCGAGAATGAGATCCTCATCTGTCAATATTTAGAACTCAGTGGTTCCACCAGCGTCTCCTTATAGCTGAATGGACACCACTTTTTCAGAACTGAGGTGGTAAAAAGATTTTGAAAATCTCCATGTAATTTTTCACAGTGATCTTTTAGAATTTAATGGACATATCCATAATGGCATTACTAGTTTGAGAAACATTTAGAAAATTATCTAAAACAATTAGATAATACTTCATTATAAAATATAACAAGAGCACATATTTAATTTGAATATCAAATATGTTATACTACATAACTTAGGCCCTCAAAATATATAACTTACTTAAAGTATAACATATTTCAAATGATGCAGAAATACTATAAAATCATATTTCCTGGAATCTAATAACTATGCACAATTTAAAATAATTGATTAAAAATGATTATTAGTCTTTCAGATGAACAGAACCAATTTCAACTTTAGTTGTTTTTTACTTAGCATGCTATATATTAAAATCAGCTGGAAAATAGCCAAAATAAACAGTTAAAAGAAGTATGATAACTAGCAGATGCTATTTATCTTATTTTTACTCTACACGTCAATACTAGAATGTGAAAATATGTATAAATATGAATTTAAGTGATTTCCTAAATATTTGTTTTTTAATTCCAAACACTTGGATATTCTAAACTCCTTAATCTGATCCATCCTTATTTTTGATTACAGCATTGTGGCAATTTTTCTATAAAAAGCTATAGAAATTTAAGCTGACCAAAAAAATAACAGCCATGCCATCGAACAGAGAAAACACGTGGGAAGTCTCCGTGGCTACAAGTGTCTGTATGTAGAGAGTTACCAACAGGAACTCAAGGTGTAGTGCAGTGTAATCTAACTAGTGATCACCAGCAACCTTTCAGGTCTATTTAGGAAAATTAAAAGAACTTCTGCAATTATAGACTTTATTTCAGTTACTTGGTCTCTTTCCAGTTCACGACTTCTACTTTATTCTGGCTTCACTATGAAAAACAAGTCCATAAGTATCTCTGCTATAATCAGCTGTTAATTACCATCGATTCAACATTAATTTTGAATGGTCTGATTTTAGAGATTTCTAATAGGGATCACTTGCTGTATTCCTATTTTCCCCTGAGAATTTCATAATAACTATAAATAAAAAAGCAGTATTTTCTAGATAATAATGCTCTCAAGCTGTTTTGCTTAAAACTTACATATTGCAAAATTTGCCCTCAGAAAATTCTGACGTAGGACCTTTATAGCTTTTTTCAAACTGTGACCCTAAAGTCCTATTTTCGTATCAAGCAAATGTAAGCCTCATTGCTGTTTATAAATGTTTTGAGTTTTCTCGGATAAAAGGCAGTATAATGGATAATAGAATTTCTACTTCAAGATCAAACCTGTAGTTACAGCAGCCGGTGAGACGGCAGTGAAGTCCGAGGTTAGCAGTGCGTGCCTGAATGCCAAGTTCTGGCCACTGGACAAAGTCCACATGGAGGCCCAGGGAATGCTGGGAACCTGTGGGCAGAGGCATGGGCAGTGCGGTGCAGTGGACGGACTGCAGCCGTAAGATGAGGGTGAGCCGCAGGGCAGGCGAGGAAGTGTCTGGGGAGACAGCCTAGCTGGATTACGGAGCATGCGGGAGGCTTAGAGAAAAAATCCACAGGGTGGCTCTGAGGAAGTTTGGTGTGGTGCGTTTGGGAAATGACACAGTATTTGACATCGCTAGCAGGTGAGTTGGAAAGTGGCAGAAAATACGGGTAAATAAATAGACAAAAGCTGAGATGCGAAGCCTTGAATTTTAGGGATTATATCTCTGCATCTGGTTCTAAAAGTTGTTGAATTCATAACTATATTGACATATTATGCACAAGAGGGTGTAACATGCTAATCTTTCATACCACATCACCTGGAGAGGCTATTAATGTAGAAAAATAACCCAGGTATAAAGTGTGTGTGTCACGCGGCAGGCAGGTGTGCCTTAGTACTTCCTCCAAAGCTCTCAGAAGAGAGCTCATACAACACCATTTTTCCTGCTGCAGGTCTCTACACTGTGTTAATTCTGAGAACTCTTTGTGCAGCCATAAAGCTCTGAAGGGAATTCAACTGGGATTTTATTCCCCTATCACAACCATTTTGGGGGCTGATATTTTTATTTATAGAATTTGACTCAAAACTAAGTCTGTTTATTTAGCTTTTTTTTTCTTGAAAGTTGGACCCAAGGGCAGCACACTGCCGTTGCCTCACCACCTCATCCCATCCACTGTCCCACACGCCCAAAGAGGCATGTTCCTCTTTGTCCTCCTAGGGAAACATTTGGCCATGATTCCTTAGACTGAGACTGATTGGTTTGTGTCTTTCTACATCAACTCTTGGTGACATTTAGAACAGGAGTTTGGAAAAATTTTCTCCCTGTGCTTTATAACTCTCTTACCTTAGGGCATACTGACACATCTGTGAACCGGGTGACGCGTGCTCATGTATGTAGCAATGAAAATTATACTACTATACTTAAAATTAAAAGGCACCTCCCATGTCACTCATATCTTGGGAAAAATAGCAAATAGAAAACACTTCTTAGAAGTAAGTCTAAGATGTACTATGTATTATTTATTTTATATTTCGTGGTAGATTCAAGCTTTAGTAGGGGCTTTTATTTAAAATTTTCAACAAAATATTTTTTCCTTAAACATTTTCAATAGCAAAGTAAATAATCGGATGTTCCTGGCAGACCCAAAATAGATGTGATTTGGGTAAATGCGAAATGCTACTGAAACAGAATTTCATCGTTATTTGCTCATTTCCTTGCCCAGGGTTTCGATTTGACCGGCCAATTTCAATCCACAGGAACAGCTTTGTTCCTAAGAGACCACATAGCAGAGAAATACTCACTAAGGGGCAATTCCTACTGCAGTTCAAAGTCCACGCTATCATCACGGAGCCATTGACAGCAAATACCCCTGCAAACATTAGGAGTCCTGCATTTGGAGGCGGTTATGTGCTGTTTTTGGTTTCACTCTCTCTGTCTCGGAAACCAATCTGCTTGGGAGAAAAGCCGAGCCCTAAAAGAAGTTTTACCCCCACGTACTGTAGCTGTAGCTTGAATTCAATGTGCAGATTCCACCTCCTTTCTTTCCCGGGATTCCCAGCCCGGGGCGCACAATGGGGGTGTTGTGCTCCGGGCCAGCCTGGCGAGCCCGGTCCTTGGAAAGGACGGGTGAGCTGCTCCCAGACCTACACTGTTTGCTTTATACCACCGCCCCCAGCCAGATCGCAGAGCACACCGAGGCTCCCAGGGCAGGAGGAGAAAGTGCAAAAACGCACCGGCTGTTAGGATCTATGTACGGAATGGAATTCCTGAAGCTAAAAGCATACATAGGTGTGTTGAGAGTTAACTCCATCCATGCTGAGGCTTAAAAATAAATGCTCCACAGTTTTCAAGCCTCTGATTTTTCCACGCAATTCTTTTAATACGTGACAACGTGTAGTTTACAAAAGAACCCATTGTTTGTGGGAGAGAAAGGTTGTTGGTTATGAAGACTATCCAGAATGACAAGCCGTTACAGTTTGTTAAAATAGTAAATATTTACTGAAAACCCCCAAGGCATATTAGTAATGTGTTTTTGTTTGTTTGTTTTATCATAGGATTTCTAGGACCTAAACTCACTGAAATAAGTGTGTGCCTTGGACACTGTTTTGTGGAAGTCTGTGTGTGTGTGCGTGTGTTGTACATGTGTACTTGGTGAATCGGAAAACACAAGGCGTATAAATGTTTGAGGTTAAGTTTCGCCCCAAGTTACTGATTCTGCTGTGCGTTAAGAAAAGCAGAAAAGCTTACCTCGGTCAGTCCAGTGGCACCCAGGGACCTCCTTCTCCGCCGCGGCCTCAGCGTGCGGGCAGATGCTCCCCGAGCCAACAATCTGTTAACAGGAAGCAGGTAAACCTGAGTGCGTCCGCCGGGGTTCCAGTCCAGTGCCCATCGGCGCACACACACACACAGACACACACCTGCGTCTCCAGCCCTGCCCCTCACAGGCAGCAGCCGCGCACAGCACCCCTGTGTGTGCTTCCAGACGCTGACACCCTCCTCGCGGGTCACTAGTTTTCAGCCTAAGCAGCTAGAGAGCTGCGGAGATAATGTTGCAGCGAAGGCTTGCCTTCCCAAGACAAAACCCTTTTCTGCTGCCTGATAGCAGACGTGCAGCATTATCTCGCTGCTGCATTCCAGTTTCTCAGCTCAGCCGGTGGGGACAGCCGTCCTCAGCCTGCCGGCGGTGCTTGGCTCTAATCATTGTACGCGAACATGCCCATCGCTCCTCTCTTCTCTGAATAGAGATTTAAAAAATGCCTCTTCCAGGGCAACTAACGCCCAGCAGAATATGCCATACTGTTTTCCATAAGGAAAATGGCTGGTCCTCTCCGCGCTGCTGCAGACAGCCCATTGGGTTCCACCGGCTTTGCGTAGTCATAGCAACAGCCAACAGCCAGCCTAGACAGCAGGCATGGCTGGTCATGTGCAGCGCGCGGACGCGCCTTGTTCATTTCTTTTCATCAAACTCATCATTTTTATTTATTTATTTATTTATTTTAGGAGGGGAGCTTCTGTTCTCTTGCTAAGTATTTCACAGATAGTACAAGTGCTCTCGGAGTTTGCTGCTTTCAAGAGGAACTCACACTGCAGGAGCCAGGGCTGCATGTGAAACCGAGAAAGGGTAGCCCTGCTCAGGAGATACAGATGCGGTCCCTCCAGGCTAATAACATGCAGATCGCTGTAGAGACACTAAGGGGAACCGGTGTCAAAACAGGTACTGCCTGCAGGTCCTCGGATAAGCCTCAAGGAGAGTGACAAATACGGGCAGTCTTACTTGATGCTTTTTTTGAACGGCAATCCTGCAGCCACTTCCTGGGACAACGCACTGACTCGTTATGTGTGGCCCATGCAACAATCCAAGCAGATAGACTGTGTTTATAGATGTTACCTATGGATTCCATGTACCCAATTACTTTAATACACTTTGCATTGCATGATGAGAAGTAGAATTTTTAAAATGCCTATTGTCTTCTATGGCACAAAATGATTCTTTAACTCCATTATAATTTATTTTTAATTTAAAAATACTGTTAAAAACCCAAGCTGAATTAAAAACCCTTTGCTCAAAACACTACCTCCAAGGCGGGAATGGTTTTACTGCAAAGTAGGATGGACCACATCCCCCGCCTTCCTTAGGATTCCACCAGTGCAGGGACTTCCCCATGTTTAACACCATTAGCCGCTGAAACTCGCCCCAGTTTTTTCCTTTGCCACTGGTCGTCACTAGTCATGTTCTCTTTGATATATTCCCAAGACACCGTCTGGTTTATTTTTGTTTCCAGCAACCTGTTTGAAATAGTTGTGTTAACACTTTGAACTTTGTCCACGTAGATGCTTCATTGGCTCATAGTCACTGATGGAGCATCTTTGTTAAGTTTTGCATTTCCCTCCCTGTGGTCGCACTCCTGCCCTTGGTGGTAATTTCCCAACCTTAGTATGTGGAAGAGTCCTGTGGGCCCGGGTCTAGGCATTCGATCCTCTTTCCCTTTCCAATTGGAATCCCGTTGAGGAGGTTCGAGCCCGCCCAGGGCTAGCATGGCTGCTGAAGAGAATGCCTGTGCTTTTCCCCCTGGAGACCTCCCTCCCCACGTCTTACCATTTCAACACTGCTGCCTGTTCTCGTTCAAGTCACCTTTCCTCGAGTTCTTTCCAGTTTGCTACACTTGAGCTTGCCCCTGCCTTCAGCCTTACATTCTACTCTTTTTCTCATAATTTATTTATTGTTATTGTATTTTTCATTACCATTGATCCCCCTTATATCCTCTTCCACCCTCACCCATGCCCTCCCCTCCTCCCTGCAATCACCACACTGTTGTCCATGTCCATGAGTCCTTTTCCTTTTTTGCTCCATCCCTCTGCCCTGTCACTCTGCTGCAGAGCTGGCAGCCTGCTCTCTATCTATGGGCCTGTCTCTATTGTGTGTGTTAGCTCCGTCTGTCCATTAGATTCCGCCTAGGAGTGAAATCATATAAAGCAGGAGGCAGGCTGGGGTGGAGGTAAAGGGTGCTGGGTGGATGGGGTCTGGCTGGGAAGCCTTTCTCCAGAAGGAACATCTGCAAGGCGAGGGAGCAAGGTCGGGGATGTGATTCGGCATCGCTGACACGTGGGCAGCGAGGCATAGACTATATGTATCTTTCAACACTGCGCTCAAACAGACCGCCTCACTAAGGGCACCCCCGGGCGGGCGGAGGGTGCAGTGGCCTCCTCGGTGCTCCCGCTGTCCCTGGGACCTGCCTGTCCTGTGACAGCGCTGCTCACACCCTGGTGACATATTAGCAGTTTTGCTCTCATGTCTGACTCCATGCTGCTCTGTCAACTCCCCAGAGGCCAACCTGGTCCGTGTCTCGTTTGTCTTGCGTGCCTGGGGTCGTCTGATCTCTCCATCCATTTTGAACCAGGACCCAAAACCCTGTCTGGACAGGGGCCGAATGACTGGATAGAGTGAAGTCTGTGTTTTAAGTCACTTTTTCAATATCATGCATTTTTTGATATTATAACTTCAAAGACTTTAAGTCATTTGGATGAAAGGTTGGCGGGTTAAAGAAGTTATCAAGACACATCACTAGCTCGTTTATGTTTGCTGGTGGCTTTTTGCCTCCTTTATGTCTAAGAATGTCTACCCTCATGCTTGATGGATCATTTGGCTGGGTATAAGAACCTTTGAAGCCATTTCCCTTTGGTATTTTTTTAAAGATTTTATTTATTTATTTTTACAAAGGGAAGGGAGGGAGAAAGAGAGAGAGAGAGAGAGAAACATCAATGTGCGGTTGCTGGGGGTCATGGCCTGCAACCCAGGCATGTACCCTGACTGGGAATCGAACCTGCGACACTTTGGTTTGCAGCCCGTGCTCAATCCACTGAGCTACCCCAGCCAGGGCTCCCTTTGGGATTTTTGAAGGCCGCCTTCTTTGATCTACAGCCCCAACTGCCGCTCTCCCCCGCCCCTCAAGGTGTAGAACTAGGAGACACCCGAGCTGCCCAGGACTAGGAGCTGGGAAATGAGGTGAGGTGCTCTGCCCCCACAGTGTCCCTCGTGCCTCCTCTCTCGACGGTCACATTTCACGCGGTGAGGGGGTCTGCTCTTTCCACGCTCTGGGGCTTCCTCCCCTCCCCCAGTCCCTCTCCGTGCCATCCCGCTGCCATGGCCCGTTTGCCGTGGGCCACCGGCTCCGCCCTACCTCGTGCCTCTAGCTTTCATTCTCTCTCCTGTGCTTTGTGGCCTTTTGGCTAAGATCAAGTGTATTCTCCTTCCTAACTTGTTAGTTTAAAAACGATTGCCATATACAGATTCCCAGGAAACAAGTATGGCTTCCCAGTTCACCTCTCTGGGTTAGACGGGAAACCTCATAAAGTGCCAGCAGCGTCGTCCCTGGACCGCCTGCCCTATGTCAGGTCCCCGTCCTTGGTCCAGCCGGCTGAGGTAGGGATTCTTGGCATCATACCGCTGTCCTCCGCACCCCCCTCCACCCCCGCCAATGCAATAGGTGCAAAGTAATAGCTTGGCATTGTTTTAATTTGCATTTCTCTAATGACTGAAGAAATCGAACATTTCTTCATGTGCAATGGTCTCTTGGGTTATCGCTTCTGTAAGTTTCCTGGTCATGGCTCTCTGCCTGTGTTCTCTGTTGAGAGCCTTGTCTTAGTGGGGGATTTAGACAAAACAGCCATGAAAAGTTTTCCAAAACTGTTATGCAAATCTAACTAAATTGGTTACATCATTAAAAGTTAATAAAAGATCCATTGACATGTAAAGAGAAAACAGTAATTCATGCTGCTAATTGTCTTGATTTCCATGATGCAGAATGGGGGCGAATATCACCATTCAGAAGATACACTCAACACCATACATATAAAGTAAGATTTTCTAAAACAAGACCTAAGGTCGTACATTATCACAAAACCAAAAGACACTGTTAGCAAAGGTGACTTGCAAGACAAACGTTACTTTCACGTGTAAGACAGTAAACAGCATGAGAGAAACAGGAAGACCGAGAGGCTAATGCTGACGACAGGAGACCTCGGACTGAACACAGTGTGTGATCTTGGGTCGGTCGGATGCAGGCTCAGGAAGACAAGGCCAGGGAGCATGTGATGGAGCTAATCGGTGAGTTTGAATCGGACTCTATGTTAGACAATGGCATTGCTTGCATTTAACATTTCCACAGTTTGATCGCTGTATCGTGATGTGAAAAGTGTACGTCCTTGTTTTTAGGAAACCTGCGGACAGTGTCGATGGCTCAGCAGAAAGAATGATGCACAGTCATGTGTTTGTATTTTGTGTGTGTGTGTGTGTGTGTGTGTGTGTGTATGGCATAATTTATCTTTTATAACGATAGACCTATCTATAGCTATATCTTAATATCTATCTACTGAAGGCCAGCACACATGTGGCAAATTACTAACATCTGGGAATCTTCAGTGAGAGATATTTCGGTTTGTTTTACTATTCTTTCCACTTTTCTGTAGGTTTGAATTATTTTGTTTTCAAGCTGAACAGTTTAAAAAAAAAGAAAGAAAATGAGAATAAAACGCAGTGTCCAGAACAAAAACACGTCCCTGAGAAGGTGACGTGGTGAGCGCCTCGCTGTTTGTCCAAGTTAAAGCTACAGCTGGTAATCCGTGAATGAATGCAGGTGATTGTTATTGTTACTCTTCCCAATACGATTCAGGGGCGGCTTCGGTGGGGCGCACTGGCAACAGTTTGCACTCTCCTGGAAGCCGTGAGTTACTTCAGTGCGTTAACTGCGTCCCTGTGCCCCGATACGCAGCCCTTGTCCCGGGGGCCCCGTGTTGGAGTCCCTCTCACTCTGGTTCCTCCACGGTTGTAAAAACTCCACAAGATCCTTGTTGACTGGAGCTTGCTCTCCTGCAGTCACACCTTTCCCCGAGGCCTCCACCGCCGGGTGACAGGCTACAAAGGCATCCGGCCCCTGGTAGAACAAAGAAGCTCTTTGTACAACTTAGAGGATAGAATCTGAGCATGGTGTGCTTAGTGGGGTAGCACAGACTGCTGTAAAGAGTAGACTGGATTCTCTAATTCCTAATAACAAATAGAACGCACCGAAGGCTGTTCTCAAATCTATAACCGTTAGTTATGTTGGCAATGACAAGAACAACGTGCTGTCAAACGGGAGCAGGGTGGGAAGGGGGGCAGCTGCCTTGGAGGGGATTAGAAAGAGAACTGGAGGGTCTCAGTAAAGCAAATTAAATTTTATTTCTAAGATTCTGTCCTCTCAGAAATATACAGCAGGATGCAGACTGACCCATAGGCAATTAATCAAATGCCTTCACATCCTCTGAGGAAGTCTGACCTTGGTAAG